TATTGCAGAGTCAAGGTCTCACCAAGTAGTCCAGGCTGGTCTCGAACCCATGGGCTCAGACAATCCACTCGCCTCAGCCTCCCAAAGTGCTGGGATTACAGGCTGAGCCACCAAGCCCGGCCCAGAAGGGAACATTTTAAGGACTACGCAAAATTCGATTTTATCAGAAGGCACATAACCTCACTGGCCCTGTATAAAGGATGGGCATACCATTGCCTGGTAAACTGAGGCTTCCGTGTGCCTGCCGGCTAGCACAGTGTTCAGCACACAGTAAACACTGAGGACATCGTTGTAAAGGGAAACTCTTAAGTTGCTTGGCTTCTGAAGTTGAACAAATGGGTAAAGGCTTGACCTGGGGGTGCTGCCCGGAGATGGAGGGAAGAAACGTGGGCACGTTCTCTGTTGGGTGTCTTCCCTTCCTGAATGTTATGAAAGCACAGTGGAACCTGTGGGTTGAAGGCCTGTCCCTGCTGTAGAGCCTGGTGATTCTCAGAAACACAAACTGCCAAGGTTTACTGACCTTCCGGCCCAGGGCAGGCCCCAGTTCGGTTGTTCCTAACTGATCATAGCTTTGTTGAGTAAGATGAACTGCTTTGGTTCCTTGTGATTTGCTAATGGTCTTATACTTGTGCTTGAAGGCATTTTGGCCACTTTAAAACCACAAACAAATAATTTGCTTCCCTTTAAGCCTCTTGCCCAAACAGTGAACACTAGTAGTAACCTGCGCTTTTTTTTTAAAGGGCCACAAAGATAGTTTGAGTCAGTCATCTGATTTAAAATCAGTTTTTGAAGGTTTTGTGAAGCCTAGGGGAAAAGAAATATCTTGAATGTAACAGTAAAAGTCAAGGAGATGTTTCATACAGCAACCTTTTAAATTTTTCCCGAAGAGTAAGGGGTAAAACTAACCTAGCTCAGTTTGCAAGAACAAAACAGTGAAATTCAACTGTCAGGGAATAATGTGAGCTGAATGCTTGAAGTTGTACGATGGGGAGGACAGAGGTGCTATCTGTAAATTCTGATACTGAGAATTAACAGGAGCAAAGAATGGAAAGAAAAAGGGTACCTGTGCATGGAAATGTGTTTTTAAAAATCATTCTGTCAGTCTTCCATTAAAGAAAGCTTACTTGATTCCTCTTGAGTTAAGGGTACATATTTTCAAACAGGGGTTTTGTCTAAGGGTCCTTTGAGCAGTACTGGGGGCTCTCTTGCATTTGCCTGCTATCAATTTGCCTAGAATTTCTGCTGGGTGTTGGGGCATGGGGCTCCTGAGATGTTTGCCCCGGCATGCACACGCACTCCTCGCTGGGTCCTGGGGCCTTGGAGCTGTTTGAGGCTGGGGGACTGGGGTATCCATTTCAGGGATGATAACCTCCAGAGTGGTGAGATAGACACAGATAAGCACCGTGTGTTTGTTTGTTTTAAAATGCTAGTGCCTAAGAGCATTTTTTGGGGGCTCGAAAGCATAAGGTTTCCTAACTCTGAATGGAGAAGGCATTGCTGACTGTCTACACTTAAGGCCTCAGCTGTGATTTGCAGAAAAGTCAGCAAAGCCAGCAACTCCAGGCAGCCTAGGCTTTCTCCTGCTTTCTGCCTGACCCAGGGGGGCGAGTCGCTCACTTGTTCTACAGGTCGTTGGCCGTTTTCATACATGAATGCATTTATTGTCTCGAGCTGTTTTGGAAGCCCTTATTTTTTTAGTGGTTTCTGTGAGTTAATGAAAGCAGTTTTGGGGTAACAGGCTCAAAATAAAGAAAACAGCACACCTGGGGAAGCAGGGCAGGGTCTAGTGCGGTCACGACCTCTAAAGGCAAACTGGAGAATGGAAGAGGCTTCTCTGAGGGTACAGGGAGACAGGAGCTGCTGGTGGCCTTTCTGGTCTTGTACAACTGGAATGTTAGGAGATGAATCTTCTAGCATTCAAGGCCGAAGCGTGGAGAAACTCTGAGTCTGACCGTCTGTGCCATGAGCGGTCTGGTGTGAATTCGTACTATGATGACGTGGCTGAAAATCTCTTAGTACTCCATACTTTCAGTTGCTTGCAGCTAGAGCTTTCGCCTTAGGCAAAGAGTGTGCTTGAGCTGCTGGTGAGGTCACTGAGGAAGCGCACAGATTTTTTAAAAAATTTATTTTTGAGTATTTGACATGGAGACGAATGACCTTTGTGTGACAGCTCCGGGTTGACCCTGGCGCTGTCCGATTCTGACATGTAGCCATGGAGCAGGGAGAAAGTTGGGTAGATTCTTCTTGAGGTCAGGCTCCAGTCAATTTTGAAAATAAAGATGAGATCAACTGTTTGACAAAGGAGGAGAAAAGTGGGTTTTAGATTTTCAGTGGACACGGGCACACTCCCCTGACTGATCTACAGAATTTTTTTTTTTTTTTTGAGTTGGAGTCTTGCTCTGTCGCCCAGGCTGGAGTGCAGAGGCATGCTTACGGCCACCGCAGTCTCCACCTGCTGGACTCAGGTGATCCTTCCGCCTCAGCCTTCCAAGTAGCTGGAACCACAGGTGCGCGCCACCATGCCCAGCTAATTTTTCTTGATTTATTATAGAGATGAGGTCTCTCCAAGTTGCCCAGACTGGTCTTGAACCCCTGGGCTCAGGCAGTCCTCTTGACTTCGCTTCCCAAAGTGCTAGGGTTACAGGCATGAGCCACTGCACCCGGCCCAAAACTTTTTTTTTTTTTTTTGAGTCAGAGTCTCCGTTGCCCAGGCTGGAATGCAGTGGCACGCTCACAGCCACCACAGCCTCGACCTACTGGGCTCAGGCCATCCTTCTGCCTCAGCCTTCTGAGAAGCTGGAACTACAGACACATGCCACCATGCTTGGCTATTTTTTGTGATTTATTGTAGAGATGAGGGCTCCCCAAGTGACCCAGGCTGGTCTCGAACCCCTGGGCTCAGGCAGTCCTCTCGCCTCGGCCTCCCAAAGTGCTGGGATGACAGGCTGAGCCACTGCACTGGGCCTAGAAATAGATTTTTGCTAAGTTTCAGCGTTTACTTCAGGTGTAGAGTCCAAATACTTGGCTTACCCTTGAGAAAAGTGCTTTCCATGCAACAGCCTTGCTCAGCTTTGAGCAGCTTCAGGTGGAACTCCAGGTGTGGTCAGTGGAAGCAGGTGGTTGTACTGATTGAGAATACGGTTCCAAGTCCCGGACCATGTGAATAACTGAGCTGCATCTGAGGCTGAGGCTGAGACTGTCTGGAGAAAGAGTTGACCTCTTGCTAAGGGCGTGGCCGTCTTGTTTCAACTTGGAGTCTGTCCTTCATTTTATCCCAGTGGTCTGCATCGCCCTCCCGGGAAGCCTGGGCCACCCAGTGGGCCCCTGGCCTGCTCTCCTTGAGCCCACAATTAATTGCCAGCACATTCTTTCTTCTTCCTCTTCTTTTTTGGTATTTGACATGAGCTCAAGTTGCTGAGAAAGGTGACAACTGTGAAATGAAGACAGGGCTTGGAGACACCTTGAAAAATACGTGCAGAGGCCACTAAATGACAAGAGCAGACTGCCAGCCTCTTTCAAAGCATCACCACGTCTGTTGACTTTCCATTCCTCGTCCACAGCACAAAATTGGAGGTCAAAGAATCATAGGAGTTCGAGATGGAAAAGACATTTGGGGTCAGCCGGTTCATCCCTCCGCCTTCTCCTGCCCCGGATTCCCGATCATTCCTTGCATTATATTTTCTCTCCAGCTCTCGTACAGTTTTCACGGTCTTCACTCAACCCCGGCTGTCACCTTTGGGGAATGATGCCGGAGGTTCTGTCCAGGTTCTTCGCGACAGCGAGAGAGATTGCCTCTGCCCCTGTTGACATTCGTGAACTTCTTTGTTGGTGGTCCCAGCTGAGAGGCTGAAGGCCAACTGGGTGTCTCTCTGTTGCGTGGTGATGGTGCTTCTCTGGACAGAATGGAAGCGCATTTAGCGTATGATATGGGGCAAAGGATAAAGGGCTGCGACGCACGGAACCCACTGCTGACTTTGTTCCTAGACTTCTGGTTTTCAGGTCTGTTGACCTGGAGTGGGATTTGTGTGTGTATGGGGTATGTGGTCATGGGACAGGTGAGCAGAGACAGGAAATTACGTTGAACAGGCGTGCGGGAGGAGCCTTAGCTTGGAGAGTGCTGGATTAAACAACACATAGGAAATCCTGGTCCTGTGAGGCGGTCGAGGACTGCTTTAAGAATTACCTGCTGGGGAAGGAGTGGCGGTTCACTGCACAGAGCTCCGGCGGAGAGGCAGGTCGGGGCGAGGTGAGCTATGGGCGAGAGTTTTGGACGAGGCGACACGGTGGCTTTTGTGGTCTCCCCTTGCTTTGAGAAAGCTGAGAACGGGAGGTCTTGTGCTCACAGGCTGTGTGGTTGGGAAGGGGGTGTTCATTTTTGGAGGCCGCCTGGAGGGATGCCCCCAGCTCCCCCCTCTTGCTCCAGCAGCTGCTGGGAGCAGTCCGGAGGGGGTATTGTATTTCTTCTGGTAACTCTGCCAAGAATGAGAGGAAATCCACAATCTGTGGGTTTTGGGGGGGATGAGGATGGGGTGGCAGGTGATGGGACCGGGAAATTAAATTGTTTTATAGTAAATAGGCTGAGATACTTTTCCTGGAAAGCTGTTTCACTGAAAGAAATGATATTTCCCCAGCTCACTGACTCTCATGAGTTCTGTCTCTTTAGAGAAAGGAAAACAGTCTTTGAGTCTTTCTTTTACTTTCTTTTTTTCAGTTGGAGTCTCACTGTCATTCAGGCTGGAGTGCAGCGGAACGCTCACGGCCACCGCCGCCTCAACCTGCTAGGCTCAGGTGATCGTTCCACCTCAGCCTTCCAAGTAGCTGGAATCACAGGCGTGCAGCACCATGCCTGGCCAATTTTTTTATTTGTTGTAGAGATGAGATCTTGCTATGTTGCCCAGGCTGGTGTTGAGCCCCTGGGCTCAGGCAGTCCTCTTGCGTCAGCCTCCCAAAGTGCTGGGATTACAGGTGTGAGCCACCATGCCTGGCTGAGTATTTTTCTTCTTTCCCTGTAGTTCCAGCTTTGATCTCCATGTTTCTTTTCCTTTTCCTTTAGAAAGTCCGTCTTGAAAAGGTGATTCAGACATGGTGCCGTATGCGCTTGAGAGGGGACTCCCTCCAGAAGTGAGTGGCTGAAAGAGAAGCCCTCATTCGTCCCTTATCTTAGATGCAGTTTGACTCTGTCCTTGTGGCTTAGAAACTGGAGGTGGAAGAGCGTTCTGGGTGGTGTCTGGTTCACATTCCCTGCTCTCCTTCATCCAGGCCGGGAGGGCACCAGGGGTTTTGAAGTCTGGGCACTTGGGTTGAGAACCTGCTCTGGTGATTAATATGGAACACAGTTTCGAGATTAAAAACAATGAAGCAGAGCAGTGTAATTATTGCTCACATCTTAGCTGGGGAGTCTGGGGAAAAGTTATTTTGAAGGTCTGAGAACAAAGTCCACCTCTTCGTCTTCTTGTGCGAAATCGTGACGCTGAGGATGGCCTGTTCGCACAAAAGGTGGAGGCATCTTTCTTGCTGTTGTTCATTTTTAGAAAGTGCTAGGCCGGCCTTTCCAGAAGTTGTATTATGGGATTCTTGATGAATTAGTTCTGTAACCAGATGAGTCTGGGAAATACTGGGCACCACATCCCTGCTCTGGGGAGGTCGCAGTGCCCATTAGTAAATAAAGGCACCGGGAAGTCCTGGGAGAGAAAGACCAGGTTAACTCTGTTTGAGCCAGCTTTGTCCACGATGTTTTCTTTTTGTTGTCGTTTTTTGAGTTGGAGTCTCACTCTGTCACTCAGACTGGAGTGTGGTGGCCGCTCCCGGCCACTGCAGCCTCGACCTGCTGGGCTCCAGCGATCCTTCTGCCTCAGCCTTCCAAGTAGCTGGAACTACAGGCGCATGCTACCACACCCGGCTAATTTTTGATTTATTGTAGAGATTTATGGTAGAGATTTTTGATTTATTGTAGAGATGTAGAGCCGGGTGGGTCTTGAACCCACGGGCTCAGACAATTCACTCACGTCAGCCTTCCAAAGTGCTGGGACTACAGGTTGAACCACTGAGCCCAGCTATCCACAATGTTTTGACGGTAAAATCCCTTTTTTCCCTGCTTCACATCTCTTAACATCATGTAGAACACACATACTGGTCCAGTGCCCTGCAAGTCCCTGACCCGACCAGTGACGAGACGGAAGGATATGAACCTGTCCAAACTGGTCCTCAGCTCACACGTGCAGAGGACCAGGGTTGTGCTCGGCGCTGTTGAAGTGACTCTGGAGGGCTTGGACCGTGGGGGTCGTGTTAAGATGCTTTACCTGCTGGGATTCCTTCGCTTGAGCTGCTCCATGAGAATTTGGAGGCTTCGATTGAATTATGGAAGATGCGGCATGTCATATTCTTAGGAAGAGCTTTGGAGCTGCAGGTGTCAGGAAAATGTGACTTGCCAGAGGGAAGTCTAGCTCAAGTAGTTCCTGAGCAGTGTCTATCAGAATACCTCCTGTGCTGGGCCCATGGGTCTCACTTTTTGTGTCAAAGACATACATTTGCATGACATTAGGATTTTTTTTTTTTTTTTGAGTTGGATTCTCACTCTGTTGCCCAGACTGGAGTGCAGTGGCCGCTCCCGGCCACCGCAGTCTCGACCTGCTGGGCTCCGGTGATCCTTCCGCCTCAGCCTTCCGAGTAGCTGGTACTACAGGCGCACACTACCACGCCTGCCTAATTTTTTGATTTATTGTAGAGATGAGGTCTCGCCAAGTTGCCCAGGCGGGTCTTGAACCCTCGGGCTCAGGCAATTCACTCACCTCAACCTCCCAAGCTGCGGGATTACAGGCTGAGCCATTGAGCCGGGCAGACATTAGGATTTTTAATAGCACGTGAAAGGATGAAGGCAAATGCCCTTTAAAAAAAAAAAAAAGGCCAGGCGTGGTAGCTCAAGCCTGTCATCCAGCACTTTGGGAGGCCGAGGTGAGAGGACTGCCTGAACCCAGGGCTTTGAGACCAACCTGGGCAACCTGGTGAGACCTCATCTCCACAGTAAATAAAAAATTAGCTGGGCATGGTAGTGCGTGCCTATAGCTCCAGCTACTTGGAAGGCTGAGGTGGAAGGATCGCCAGAGCCCCGCGGGTCGATGCTGGGGTGGCCATGAGCGTGCCACTGCATGCATTCCAGCCTGGGCGACAGAGTGAGACTCCAACTCAAAAGAAAAAAAGAGAAGAAAATCGAAAAGCCTGTCCATGACACCTTTTCTTGTTCACTCTCTGGTATGTTACTGTTTGAGTAAAACTGTTTACGCTCTGACCTTGTCCTCTCACCTCCATCGAGGTAAAGTTCACACGTGCTCTCCTGAATATGCAATCTGCCTTATTTACAGGCCCCGTTGTGCTTAGCATCGGACAGAAATCCCTGTAAAAGTACGGGTCGTTAGTTGAACAAAAATGAATTCTATGAGTTGTGTGAAATTTGATGGTGCACTTCTTCAGGCTCCTGCTGTCCCAGCCATCTGCAGCATGCTGGTTGAGCGCCACCTTTAGAATTACTAAGAGGTTTAAGACTTGGTCCTGTGGAATTTATGACTGAACTGGACAGACAAGATGTATAGCTGTGAAAAGCTAGCAGTGCCTGCGTACGGTGGGTTCTGAGAGTTCAGATGGTTTGGTTGGAGGGGTACTGGGAGGAATCAAACCAGGAGAGACTCGCTGGATCTTAAAGAATGGGTGGATTCGACTCGTCCTCAGAAGAGGAAGCAAGCATTTGGCAGGGACGGTGGTGGGCTAGTGCTGGCAGTGTGGGTAAAGGTGTGGACAGACGGATGGATGTAGAGTCGGGCTTGGCGGGAGCCCCGCTGCACCGCGTGGAGCATGAGTCGTGAGGCTGTGTGGGTGAAGCGGGTTGACAGTTGGGGCCTGTCAAGGTGGGGGGGTCAGCTCGGTTGGCTCCATGCCCTCCTTGTGTGTGGTCCTGTCCTGGAACTGGCGTGTTTCCTACAACCTCGCTTCACCCTGAATGTTGGGGCTGCTCCCTGTTTCCTGGCCTGAAGGGTAAGCAAGTGAACATGATATCATGATTTTTCTTTTTTCTTTTTTTTTTCTTTTGAGTTGGAGTCTCACTCTGTCATCCAGGCTGGAGTGCAGTGGCACACTCATGGCCACCGCAGCCTCGACCTGCTGGGCTCCTGCGATCCTTCCGCCTCAGCCGTCCAAGTAGCCAGAACTACAGGCGTGCACTACCACAGCCAGCCAATTTTTGACTTATTTATTTATCGTAGAGATAAGGTCTTGCCAAGTTGCCCAGGCTGGTTTCGAACCCGCAGGTGCAGGCAACCCCCTTGCCTTGGCCTCCCCAAGTGCTGGGATGACAGGCTGAGCCCCTAAGCCCAGCCTATAATGATTTTTCATCGGTTTTTTTTGGACTTAGACCTCTGCGGCTCAGTTCTTGGGAGGATCCAGTCTAATGCAAATATAAATGGAGAGTTAGACATTTATCTTGGGCTGCTTAAATACTTGTGCACTAAAGCCAAGTTCTTAGTGTCAGTAGGAGAACTGGTGGGTATAGGCCATCTGGGGAACAATCTGCTTTTGGAGAGGAAGCTCAGAGGAATCTAGAGACTGTTCATTTGAGATTCCAAGCTGCCAAGCATTGTTAGCTGTAGGCCTGTCCCTCTCCCCCTGGCCCGTTGCCTGTGACCTGTCTCGTTCCACGCTTGTAGACTGACAACCTTCCTTTCCTGCGTTTCCACGTCAGCTGGGTGTCCTGCTTGTGGAAATTGTGCCAGCCGGGTAGTGCGGCAGCAACTGGGGGCTTCCAGGGGAACCAGCTTTGAGGTGGGGCAGAGAGGGAAGTGATCTGTGGTCCAGGAGCTTTTTGGTCTTAGAGATTGTGTAGGTTTCCGAACTCTCCGATATGCCCACACTGCGCCCCCACCCTCCACCATTTTTCTTTAGGTTTATTTATTTGTTTGCCTTTGTTTTCAGGGTGTGAACAAGGAGAGGGGAAATGAAAGGGCATTCTAGGTCACTGCCTAGGTTAACTTCTGTCCCCCTGGACTCCCTTGCCAAGATTTTAAGGGGCCAGATAACTTACCGTGGGTGCATGTTGTGTTGTTTTTGTTCAAAATAGGTCATGCGCCCGGGAATGCATGCACTAATGGTGACTGAGTGCCGGAAAGCAGGACGAGAGAGAGGCGGGGCCTGTGGAAAGATGAGCCCGCGGTGAGAGGAGGGGGGCTGGGGAATGGCCGTTCAGCCAGGCCAGAGACTCCTCCGTGCTTTACAGCCTTGGAGAGATTCATTTCCAGGGCACTAATCAACGTTTTGAGGGGTGCACCCTCTGTGTGCATCAGAATCCATGGGGGAGAAATGGCTGGCCGGAGGGTCCCTGTGGAGTTCCAAGGGCCACCCGCCTGTCTTCTCAGGAACTTCCCCTTTGACTGGGGGTGACAGGGCCCCATGGGGAGGGGAGGATACCAGTTTTCAGAGAAAGGAGATTTTTAAGAATTCCTTCTGATTTTTCAGCTGCTGAAGCCAATAAAAATATAGATTCAATTTGGCCACCAGCAAGGGAAACTTACCACGAAAGGTGACAAAAGGGATGAAAAGGCAGAGTTGTGAAGTTGCTTTTAACAACGTGGGGCTTTCCCAAGTCACAGCCAGGTGGAATGGTTTTGTTAAAAGTTGGAATTTGGTTTGAAGGTCCACAGCCAAGTGTTCCGATGATTCTGGGAGAGGATGCCCATATCTGGCATTTGGCAGCAGCTTCTAAAGTTCAACACTGCACTTTTCTTGCTGCTGTGGTCAAGCCCTCAGGGGAGTGCTTTGACCCTTGGTAAAGTGTCACCAAATCGCAGTTAAGTGACCAGGGAGATAAGAGAGGTGTTGTCCTTATTCCCATTCAGGAACTATGTTGATTCTGTTCCTCTTGTTTTCTTCCTGCCATGATCCAGAATATTCTATGTTTAGTGTCACGTCTGCTCATAAGTTTAGACCTAACTCAACAGGAAAGTTATAACTGACGCTCCCTTCTGTACCTGGGAGGGATTTGCAGATAAGAGTTGACAGAGAAGTCTGCTTATCTCATTTAGGGTTCAGTTCTTTCGGTCCATCCTGTTGGTCAGTTATTGTCCTCGGTCCTCTGTCCA